ACTCCTCCTGGCTCTTCTTTCTTGGTGGTAATGAGGTCCTTCTTTTCTCTCTTCCCTTCTCTCTTTTATATCTCAAAGGAAACTGACTCAATATACAAACTGATCCTGTAGATTGTGTCCTGCATCATTAACATAACTGCCTTTAATCCTGCCTCTTTAACATCATGAAGGTTAGGATTCACAACACATAGGATAATTACATCAGATCACAAAATGGAGGACAACTACACAGTACTGAGAATCATGGCCTAGTTAAGTGGACATACATTTTTGGGGGACACAATTCAATCCATAAGAAATGCCTAAAAGCCCTCTTTTATATCAGAGAAGAATAAACATGTATATCATTGAAAAAAACAAACAAAAAAAAAGAACACAGGCAGGAGCACTCTCATTGTATTATGGTATAGTAATCAGTGCTCTCATAATGAGGATTTTGAGCCAGGTGGAAACACATTTATTGGTTTCTCCTTCCTTGGTCTAATGGAGATTTTTTTTTTGTGGTGATTAAAATATTTTGGATCTAGATAGAGGCAGTAGTTGTACAACATTATGAATGCAATTAATGTCACTTTAAAATGGTTAATTTTATTTTATGATAATTTCATCTCAAATTAAAAAAAAAAGTTTCACCTTTTCACTCAGAAATTCCATTTCTGGAAATACATCCCACAGAAATATCAAATTCAGAAAATTGCACCTCTGTGAAATCAGGATAATACAGCCCGACTAATCAACTAAAAGGCAATGGTTTTCTTTTTTTTTTAAGAAGGCAATGTTAATGTATGATAATTCTTGTTTTCTTAATTTTATACATAAAGGGAAATAAAAGGAATGAAATATAAAATAATTCTAGGGCATAGGTTTGAATGGACTTTGTATGATGATTTTTTTCCATCTTTGTTAATGAGAGTTTTATACACACATACACATACGAGCATTCATTGCCTACGCTTACTCTAAAAAAAAAATCAATAACCCAAATTGCCATCTTAGTAACCTGTATAGAACAGAATAGTATTCAAGTTATTCTATAATTAGGGTTCAACCTAAATTTATAGGTTTATTTTTTCTTTCCAAATTGTCAAGCTGTGGGCTAATTAGTCTGAATTGATTGATATTCCTCAAAGACTTCATGCTGCTTCCATGAAGTTCCTTTTATGTTGTCTACCCACCAGAAATGTTTTTTCTATTCATCTTTACCTATCTGCCTTTCAAAGCCCAGCTATATGCTTCTTCCTCCAACACCCCATGTTAACCTTGACTGGAAATGTTCTATACTTTAATATTACCACTCATATCATTCAGCGCTCTATGTGGTGGATGTAAGTGTTTGTGTCATATTACTTGACATACTACTTGACTTTATGTTTCTTGAAGGAGATGGCTCAGTCTTGTTACACATACACACACACATACACAACCTGCAAAATGCCTAGCTCAGTAGTTTCTACCTCGTAGATGACAAATAAATATAATGAATGAATGAAGTGGTATAAGATGGTGAATTTTAGTTTGATCATTTTCATTTATCTTAATAATAGCTTTCCCTCACTTTCGGAAATTGATTTACCATAAAATATTGCCTCAAAGTAAATAAAAAATGATATGAGCATATTAACATTGGTCAAATAAATGCACTTGTTGTTAATTATACTCTCATAGGATCTTGACATATTATGCCCAAGTATGTAAAGTAAACCTAGCTTTATACTTTCTATTCTACACCATTCCTTAAAGATAAACCCGAATTATCAAAAATTAGCATTTAAAAATAAGATGAAAAAGCAACTTCAATTTCTGTGGTTGGAAGATGGTCATTAATGATGCAATCTGGGATGAGCTGGTATATCATAATATAATTTTATTTCTCATACAGAGTTAACTAGCTTATCTTAAAGCAACTACTAAATATTATTCTTCTAGAGAGACATTCACGGACATGGACAAGGATGCAAGAGTCTCAAACTAACAACAAAAAGTTGCTTAATAATCGATCATCTTTTATTATTTTTTAAACATTTTCATCCACAAATCTTTGAAAATCATATCAAATCTGGGTAAAATCCTATAAATATAAAAATGGGTACTAAACTATTTCTCATCTATCTATCTAGAAACTAATTTTGAGGCAGAAGATCTCAGAGATTTAATATAATCCATACAGTTGATGAATTTTATGCTCATAAAGAGGAATAAATTGAATTTTTTTCAGTCTTATTTTAGGAAATGTCCTTTAATTACAAATTTTTTAAATTAAACCTTTTCTTTTGAGATAAGTGTCAATTTGTATGCAGTTGTAAGAAAACAATGCCAGGAGATCCCATGTACCCTTTACCCAGTTTCATTTCATGGTAACAAATTGCAAAAACTACAGTACAATGTAACAGCCAGGATATTAACATTTATATAGTCAAGATTCAGAACATTTCTGTCATCATAAGGGAGCCTCATGTTGCCCAATAAAATTAAACAGGCACATTCACTTTCCTCCCTGACCCCTATGAACCACTAATCTGTTCCTATTTCCATAATTTTGTCATTTCAAAAATGTTATCTAAGTCATTTCAACTGGCACAGTGGCTAAGAGTTCAGCTACTAACCAAAAAGGTCAGCAGTTCAGATCCACTAGCCACTCCCTGGGAACCCTCTTGGGCAGTTTTACTCTGTCCTATAGGGTAGCTATGAGTCGGAATCAATTCCATGGCAAAACTGGATATAAGTCGGATCATACTTATGGAGCCCTTCAGAATTGCTTTGTTCATTCAGCATAATTCTCTGGAGATGCATCCAGATTGGTGCATGTGTCAATAGCTTGTTCCTTTTTATTTCTGAGTAGTATTTCAGTGGTATGGATGCATCAGTTTGTTTAGCCATTCATCCATTGAAGGGCATCTGGATTCTTCCCAGTGTTTGGCTATTACAAATAAATCTGCTATAAATATTTGTGCACAGGTTTGTATAAACAGAAATTTTCTTTTCTCTGGGATAAATGCCCAGGATTGCAATTGCTGGGTCAGATGGTAGTTGCGTGTTTAGTTTTTGAAGAAACTATCAAAATATTTTCCAGAGTGGCTGTAGCATTTCACATTCCCACTAGCAATGTATTAGTGCTCCAGTTTCTCTGCATGCTTCCCACCTTTTGGTGTTGTCACTACTTTTTATTTTAGACATTCTGATATGTGTGTAGTTATATTTCATTGCTGTTTCAATTTGCATTTTCCTAAATGACTAATTATGTTGAACATTTTCATGTGCTTATTTGCCATTTTTATATATTCTCTTCAATAAAGTATATCTTTGTGTCTTTTGCCCATTTTCTAATTGAACTGTTTTTCCTTCTTTCTTTTTTTAATTGCATTTTGAATGTTCTTTATATATTCTAGATACTAACCCTTTGTCAGCTATGTGAATTGCTTTAGATTTCAAAGATTTTCTACTTTTTTTTCTCCAGGTTCTATAGTTTTAACTTCTACATTTAAGTCCATGACACATTTTGATTTCTTATAAGGTGTTAGGTCAAGGTTCTTTTTTTTTTTTAATTTTGATTGTACAATTTCTCCAGCACCATTTGTTGAAAAGGTTCTCTTTCCTCCATTCAGTTGCTTTCAATTGCTTTTGCACTTTTGTCTAATATTAGAATATCAGCTGTGCACATTCATGTGGGTCTACTTCTGGACTGTGTTCTGTTTCATCGATCTATGTGTCTATCCCTCTGCCAGTGCCACACAGTCTTAATTGTCATAATTACTGAAACTTGCTTTTTTTTTTTTCAACTTGACCAAATGGCTCATCTTTCTTGTTTAATTAATCTAGTTAACTACCTACATATTTATTTTCCTCCTTTTATCCTACCATACCTGGTAGATTGATATAGTAGTTATTTTAATTTAAAATTCTTTAGATAAAGAATGTTATTTAAAAATCTTTTAGGATATTGTAATATTTTTGTTTACAAAGGTCAAGTATTTTTTTTCCTTACAATTACATGTGATGTTCCAAATCTCAATGAATAGCAATAATACAGAGCAAAGGTTTAATAATAGTAAGGAAAAACAGCCAAGGTTGACAATAGGAAATGATGTCTTTCACTGCAATTTCCCTGCCTTTTCACGGTAAAATTAATTATTTTAAATCATCAAAATATGAACTCTTCTAAAAACATAATACACGTATATCCCAGAAGACACTAAAACCATCAAATAGCAGGTCTTTTGAACTGTGACATTCCATGCATTCAAAGGCTTTCAACGCATTATATGAGGTTTCCTGCCTTAAGTCCATAAATTTTTATTGTCAGTCTTAAAGCTCATAAAACTTTCTTGAAAGATTTCCAATCATTTACTCTCTACAAAAACTAAACTGCTGAATCGCCTTTTGAATATTTACTTTACTTTTTAACAGTACAAATTACATCTAAGTATAAAATACTCAACAACCATACATACTGCTCTAATTGTGCTTTAGAGCTGACATGGAATAATAAAATACTAATTGCAATTAGAACATGTTAGTTGTTTAGAACCCCTTGCAGAATTTTCTACAACCACAAAGCTTATGCTCAAATACCACTAAATAATCCAATGACCACAATCTGAATCAGTGTTTTCCTCTGTCTCTTCCCACAATACACACTGTAGCTCTGGGCACAACTAGAGGGAAAATCCCTAATGTACACATACAAGAAAAACTCGAGTACATAGTAAGACATCCTGAGAATTTCAAAAGCCCCTATTTGTTGAGTTTCCTAAACCCTGCCACACTCTGAAAAGAGATACACTTGGATCAGCACAAGCACCTGGTAGATTGTCCAAGTTACTTGCTAGCCAGACGAGGACATTATCTCCAAAACCTCTCTTGTGCAACACCAGTCATCAATGTCACTCTGCAACTACTGCATATGCCAAATTTTCCCTAGATGAGTGGATGTTCTAGGAAAAATATGAACTGCTACCTGAATGTGTCACAAAGAAAAGTTTTCTCAAAGATCACTCCCTTACCTGTTTGACATCATATGCCAGAAGAACATATTTTAAATCTGGTGACACAGAATGTCTTGATGCTTTGAAGGTTACCTTGAAAAAAAAAAAGAGACAACTATCTTAAAAAGCTTATTAACACAGAGATAGACATCTATGCAAATACATAAATATTAAAAAAAAAACTTTATTTTGATCACAACATTCTGAAACAGGCTTTTTCCTTCCTATTGCATATTCCTATATGCATGCAGGTACGTATAACTATACAGACGGACATAAAAGCTTGTAGAGGTCTTATTAGACATTCCAGTAAGAAAAAAAAATTGCTAATATATCTTTATACACATTATCCCGTGAAGTCTATGTTAATATTTTTATTATTAAAAAATAAAAAAAAAAAAGACTGCCTCGTCTTTATTAAGTAACCAAAACACTTTTATATTTCCATGTTGGATTAATCAAAAGGAAAATACATATTGACATTTCATGGTGTCATAATTTGGTGTCTCTGTGCTTTGTTTTCTTATTGGTTGACTACTCACATTTAAAAGAAGACATTTACATTAAAGACAGAAAGCCAGATTCTCTTTTAAGGAAACTCTCAGGGTGAAACATATTGAAACACAACTACATGACTGATTATAATACAACTATGTAACTGATTATAACACAGATACATAACCGATTATATTGAAGGTCAAAGAAAAAAAATCTACACTGCACCTCACTGAGTTTTTTGCCTGAAGTTTAATCATTGAATAGACCTGTGGACAGAAGAAAGGAACGAGAAATACATTGAGGGTGGGGAAATAATTTTATTTGAAATAGAGATATTTATCTGATTCATATCTAAGGGTAAGGTAAGCAAATAGAGTTGATGCATCAAACCCTACACATTTAAACTAAAAAAAAAAAGAAAATAAATTTACATGAATGTTAAACAAACTAGATAGTCTGCATGATATTTTCAGAAAAACACATATATAAATAATTTTCTACAACTTATGTCAGGATAGTTTCTGCAAGGCTTTACTCTATGTAAAACAGAAAAGGGTGAAGTTAGGGTTTCTTTACTTAGGAACTACAAAAGCACCATGGATAGGATAAGAAACTCAGACCAATCAATATTTGGCAAAATCTGTTAATTCCTCAGCCAGGTATTCAAGAGAATGAAGAGATCAGAGAGAAAATACCATTGACTGGTAAGGCTAATATTTGCAGGGGTGAGGGGGTAGGGGAGAGGTTGCCTACAGACACTCATCTTGCACTCTCCATGGATAAGACACTTTAGAAGATCAAAGTGATCACTGGCAATTCTTCATCTCAAAAATTGTTGGAAGAGTCATTTCAATAATTATGAAAATAATTACAACAAAAGCAAAAACAATAATAACAGTAATAGCAGCTACTATTGATCAATCATCTACATATGTTCTGCAAGTTACTAACAACTTTGTATATATAATATTTCAATAATCCTCTTGACAATATGTGAGATAGTAACTTCATTTTTCTACCACCAACCCCCTCAACCCCACAGCTGCATTCACTTATTGTGTGTAATAACTTGATGGAAATTGGGCTTGTGGAAATTTACAGTGATACCGAGGACACAAGTTCATGTCTTTTTTGGTCATCAGGAGAATCATATTTCCCAAAGTCATCGGGAGGTCTACTGTTATTTTAAAAATGTCTCAGAGGCAGTGTCATCATCCCTGTCCTACAAGGATTAGAAAACAAATAGTGTACTTCTAAAACTTTGGTCAAGGTCACAGGGAAACATATAACAAGAGAATCCAAGAAGCATTCCTTTCATAAGCTCTACATTATCTCACCAGCAGGAATTCTTTTTTAGAGCACTTCCCCCTCTGAAGTCTGAATTATTTAAAGAAAACCTCACCTCTCTTGTCCCCATCGTCCTCATGTGACATTCCTCACACAAATTAACTTCACACGTTCACAGGTGCGTCTGTGCCTCTGGTAACAACGTTTGAGTATCTTTTACAGTTCCGGCAATTATTCAGTCTGGAACTTTATTAATTATCACTATACTGCCTCCAGCTTATGCAGCATACTAACTAGGAAACTTTCCAAATACCTTTTCAGGAACCTGGGCTGCTGAACCTTTTCTGCATTTAGAAAGTTCTGTGCAGGTAACTAGTGCAGTAAACAGACTCACTGACGATGCACATATAAGAAACAAAGCCTCACAGCTTAGTCAAAGGACATTATAAGTCCCAGGCAAATTCCTCTTCGTATAAACCATTAATGCTCTCATCTGTCACATCTAGTGGATTAATTCTTCCTAATAGCCACAGGAGACCTCTTGGTCTACCTTGAACCTAACCACAGGCATTAATAGAGCTCTGGTTGTGTGCCAACATAATAGGGCTTCAAATGAGTGCTCCAGGAAGTTTATTACTGCCAGTATGCTATAATGTTACCTACATAGTTAATCACTTAATTACTATTGACATAAAAGGATGCAGAAATCATGTTTATTGCTATTATTCAGCACTGGTGCCTACCACCGCATTCTTTGACACCCAACATGGTACAATCGGCATTAAAATGCATGAACCCTGCTATCTAGGAACCTTCTATTAAAGCCAGGTATGGTAGGATAAAAGGAGGAAAATAAATATGTAGGTAGTTAACTAGATTAATTAAACAAGAAAGATGAGCCATTTGGTCAAGTTGAAAAATGAACACATACTTTCAGCCAGGATGGGACGATATTATGGTTCCCCATTTGTAAGCATTTTTTAATTCTGCCAAACATCACTTTTGAGCTTTCACTATATGACAAGGAGTCCCTGGGTGGTGTAAACAGTTAAGCGCTCGACTACTAACTAAAAGGTTGGCAGTTTGAAAACATGTAGAAGTGCTTGGGAAGAAAGTTCTGGTGATCTACCTTCAAAAGGTCATAGCCTTGCAAACTATGAAGCAGTTCTATTTTGCACACATGTGGTCACTGTGGGTTTGAATAGACTCAATGGCAACTAAAAACAACAATGGTAGACCATGAGTGGAAACTGACTCGAAGACAACTGGTTTGGTTTTTGGTTTTATGGTAGACACTGAAAGTGCTAAAACGTTGAGAAACAAAGGCTACTAAGACATTTTCCAACCCATATTGGGAAGGAAAAGACAAGCACCCATGGATCTCTCTTGTCCATGGCAGAACAGGGATCCAAAACACAAATGTGTTAAGGGACCAGTTAGGTACTGTAAGAATGAAGGACAGAGGCCAAATGGAGTAGTCTTGCAGTCTAAGATGGGCAGTGGCACTTCAGCTTCCGAAAGTCACTGTGTTTTAGAAAAGCATGACAGTATGGCTGTTTGTCAAATTTTTTTTCAAGAAAATCTAGAAATCAACATTTAACTTATAATCTTTTTTTTTTTTTTTTTTAATTATAGAGCAATCTTTTCAAAAAATCTGAGGCCTGATTCTGCCTGGGGGCAGCCAGTTTCCTAATTTTTGGAAATTACTGTGATAAGGATAGGAGAGGGGAAAGAAGACAAGGTTCTCAGGTTTAAAGAAGAGCAGAATTATGTCTTTTTCATTAACCCACTCAACTGCTAGCTGAAAAGCTGGCGGTTCAAGTCCACCCAGAGACACCTTGGAAGAAAGGCCTAGTGATCTACTTCTGAAAAACCAGCCATTGAAAACCTTACAGAGCACAGTTCTACTGTGACACACCTGGGGTCGCCATGAGTCCAAATCAATGCCACAGCAACTGGAGTGTAAAGGAAGACATCATGATCCAGTGTTTTCCAGCTGAATGAAATTATAGACTACTACTCACAAAATGGACTACGTACCTTAAAAGATTCCTGGAGAAGGAGCATGCATTAATGCTAATGTTAATACATGCATCATTACCAACATAAACATGGCAGAGCTGATCACTGTTTTCATTAGTAGTGAAATTCAAAGCCAAGGAAGCAAAAAAATCAGACTCGAATTAGGAACAGTTATTTTGGAAGCTGGGTGGAAACTGAGTTGGGTCTGACGATGTCTTGAGGTCATGAGATCTTGGTAAGAGACTGGCATGACAATCCAGGGAAGCAAGGACAAGAACCTTAGTTAAGGCAGAGTCAGGGACATAAAAAGGAGGGGACATGTTCAGGGAAGTTTGCAGATAAAAACAAAAGAAGTTAATGGTTAGATCTGAAGACTAACAAACAAGGAAAAGTATACAATGACTCCAGATGTTCAACTTTGTATAACTGGCTGAACGTTGTAATCACTATCTACATTGGGAAAAAGAGAAAAACTAGTACATTTTGAGGATAATTTTAAACATGTCAATGTAAAACACGATACAGCTGTAGTCCCTGAAGGATAGCAAATAAGAGATGTTCAGGATTTATGCATAAAAGTGTGGAGTTTAAGAGGGATATCTGGGAGTGTCACCTTTAATCAGTTAAACGGATTAGTAGATGAAGGTCTATGGTTGGTTCCACGCAAAGGCTTCTCCATTAACAAACACAAATGGGGGGGGGGTGCGGATCCCTCAAACAACTTCTTTAGTAGGGTGGTGGATCGCTGACAGTGCAGTTGTTATCCGTGTTGTTTATTACTATGTCTATTCTTCAGTCAAACCTTCTTCGGTAGTTTTGCTAACTCTGTTCTTGCTAGTAATGACTTGAACTCTCTCCTCTGCTTATTCAAATTCTCCTTCTCTAAAATACAATTCTGATTCACCCCCTTTAAGCCTTCCCTGTCCTTCTCAGCTCTAGTGATTCATCTGACCATATATAATATCATATCAAATCAGATAAGATAACAATATGTGCAGTTCATCTAACAATTGATCACTGTTTCAGGATTGCTCTTCTGGGTTGTTGGAAACTGCAATTTACATATTTTATTGCCACAGTAATGCCCCTATTAAGAGGCTCCATTGCAATGATTCACTTTTGTCAGGCACACTGTAACTAGAGGTAGGAATAAGATAATAATGGTGTGCGGATATGTCAGATTTTGAAAAGGATGGCAAGAAAAATCATTAACACATACTTAAATGTCAGAAGAGCCAGAGCATATAAAATATGTATTTGTATGACTTGGGACTGAGAAAGGATTG